TTTTTTTTTTGTACTTACCCTACTCGGAGGTCAGTAGCATTTCTTATACCTGTGGCTCAATGTTGTTTTTCTTCATCAGCTTTGGAAAAGTCTTAGCCATTCTCTCTTTAAATATTGTCTCCCCTGTTCTCCCCCAGCATCAGTCTAGCTACCTTCGAAGTTTCCGTTCGCTAATTCTCTCTTAAACCGTGGCTATCAAGGCTATCCACTGATTTCTTAATTTCGGCTATATTATGTTTCAATTCTAGAATTTTTTTTCGTTTCTAGTTCTCTGCTGAAATTTCTCCATCTTGTCATTTAACTCCTTGAACATTTAAATCATAGTTATTGTAAGGTCTCTGTCAGATAATGCTAAACTTATCTGAATTCTCTGAGGGTCTGTTTCTACTCACTTTCTCATTTTTAGTCAAATCTTCTAATTTTGTACTACTTATTTTTTATTTACAGACTTTGAAAAATTGTGATTTGAGAAATTGCATAATGTTATCTTTCTTCAGAGATTTATTTTTGCTTCTGGCTGCCCACTAGCTTTGGGCGAGTTGCCTCAGTTAGAGACAGACGATTTGAAGCTGGGCTTCGGTCCCTGTGAGAGGCCTGTTTTCAGTTTTCTTTGACTCAGCACGTAACCCTTCGGGTCCCAACAGAAAGTGTGGGGTATTTAGAGGCCACTGCTACATGGTGCACCCTGACTCAATTTTTGTTCCGAGTCTTCCAGAACCTCTGCTCAGCTTCTCAGCCACCACACTTGAATTAGTCACGGTAAAGGCAGCACCGAATGTAGACCTCATCCGTCTGCAACATCGACCCTGCTTTCTTGACAGCTCTCCAACTTTTCTCGTTTTCTCAGCAGAAAAATTGGTGCAAACAAGTTCATCACCCAAGCGGAACTCTCCACGTGCCTTATTTGAATAGTTAACTTCAGAGTTCAAGTTCTGAAGTAAAACAGACTTGAGTTCAAGTCTCGATTCTGTCCCTTACTAACGCTGCGTGACTTTCGGTGAGCTGTTTAACCATTTTGTCTTAGCGTCCTCATCTGGAAAATGGAAGTAACAGTAGCGCCTACCTCGACTTGTCTTAAGGATTTTTTAAAGCACAGGTATAGCACTCAGCACAGACCCAGGAATGCGGCAAATGTTCAAGCGTCAGTAATAACATTTTTAAAGCACTATGATAATTTTATTAAGTATATAACACACAACGGCAGCCTCTCCCCTACGCATCCTCTGTGCGGAGTGCTTAACTGATAAAGACCCTAGACAGATGTTAATTTTTCCAACTCTCCCGTGGCTTTGGAACTCTGGGATGGAATGGCTGACTGGGCCACATGAAATAGTTTCTGCAGGCGCTGGGAAGTCCATTTGGGAAAGCAGATCCGTTGGAGTGAGAGTCAGCATTTCGCGCAAGATCAAGGAAGTAAGCTTTGGCAAAGAGACTCATGAACCTGGTCCCCTAGACAAGGGCTTAGAGGCTTTATCCCCCGGGAGGAAATCTGCGGTGACCACCGAGGCTTGCTCGGGAGAAGGGGGCGGATCCTTTGCGGCTCCCCCCACACTGGGGCCGAGGCCTCATCATGGGAAAAGCTTTCCACTACCTAAGACCCCTGGACAGCAGAGAAGCTCCAGGTGCTCTGAAACGGACCCCTAATTATCCCGGACTCTCTTTGTAAGAAAAACCTTATTTCAAAGATTTTAATGAAAGGCTTGCTTTGCTCCACAATACTTAAGTTCAAGAAGCATCATCATTTGTCTGTTTTTAAATGTTTTAAATGTTTTTAAATGCTACTGTATTGTACACTTCAAAATCTGTTAAGAGGTAGATCTCATGTTAAATGTTCTGACAATAAAAAATCAAAAAATGTGTATTTTTAAATGTTTAAACATTGAAGCATCCAAAATACTGCATATGTACAAGATACAAGATGCAGTAAACATGCTTTGTGCCCACCACGCAGCCAGTTCCTCTCACTTTCCCAGGCTGCAATTAGAGTGTGAGTCAGCCAGCCACATCGGGGCTCCAGAGAAGTTTCGGGACATGAGGACAGCATGTCCCAGGGCCTGGGACAGTCTTGCAGACACAAGGACACCATCCCATACACAACACGGCTTGGGGTCCGATTTACGCCACTTACAGAAGCTGACATATAAAGAGCAGCATCCCTTAGCCTTCTCACAGGGATGTAAAAGCTGCCCCTGGGACTATACAGTGAGGCTCCACATGTGGCCTTTTCTCCCTTCATTTAAAAAGCCAAGTTTCAATAGTGCTGTGGAGTCAGCGCCAGAGAAACTAGTTAGTATAATGATGGGTGATGGCGTCGAATTATGCAGCCCTGGGAAGTGTTCACGACCCCCAAACCCATCCTGGCTGCTGCTCGTCACGACTCGGCCTGGAGACCAGCGTCGGGGCTTCTGTGCTGCTCTCGCGCCATCTGGACGCCATCTCCGAGCTGCCACTGCCCTCTAGGCCCCAGGTGGCCCCAGTACGGGCTCAGTTCCCCCTTTAATCGTCCAAAACACAGCTGACACTGGTTGTAGTTTTTGGCAAAGACTTACCGAAAGTGAGACTAAGTGAGGAAAACTAACAACATAGGGAAAGTAAGAGTTTGAAATCAGGTGACACCCTCCAGCGTTCTTGGAACCCTTAGCCACACCCCTTCACAAAGGGCCCTATGACTAGCACCTTCCTCCTTAGGCCCAACCTGCAGTTAGGATGCTGAGACCTGCCCGTTCCCTCCAGACTGGTGTCCCAACAAATGCCACTGCCCTCTATGAATTCTGCGGCTCCAATTCTCCTCTCTCCAACTCCCAACAGAAGAGACAAGCTCTTAATTATCTCTGCATTCTTATTCTACCCATCTGCTCTGTTTTAGGGTCTGACCTAGGAAGTATTTCTTCCAGTTTCAATAGTTCATTTATTTAGCTCCAAGGTCAAAACCCAGATCCTCCCTCTGTATGCTCTGAAACAAGCCATACCTAATCCTGGACCCAAACGGTACAAACATCTGCACATAGCTCTCCCTGTTGAAGTCCTCAGTCAGTTCTTTTTCCTATTCTAAACAATACAGGGAATATCTTAAAAGCTAAATCTCACTTACGCATATCCTTTCAAACTTTCACTAATTCAAAGGGTATACATTTTTCTTTTTTTTTTAATTTTATTTATTTTTTTTAGGCGAGGCAACCCTTGGTTGACCTCACAGAATGCAAGGGCCTTGTCAGCTTACGATCCCTTATTTTTTTATTTTTTACGCCTACAGCACCTGGTCTTCCTAGGTGGTCTCCCACCCAAGCACTAACCAGGCCCGGCCCTGCTTAGCTTCTGAGACCAGATGGGATCGGGCTTGTTCGGGGTGGCATGGCCGTAGACTGCACTTTTCCGCTCACTCACTCAGCATTGAACTAACTGCTAGGCATTCTTCTAGGTCTAAGGACATAGCAATGAGCGTAAGTATACGCTCCAACCTCACAGCCCTCACATCTGGTGAGAGACAAATAAGGACATAAACAGAAACCACAAAGGTGTCCAGTACAAAGAGCAGTGAACCAGGGGATACTTCTCTCGAGAGCTGGCCCTGTGCTGACATCTGATCAGTGATTAGCACGTGTTAGTGAGGAGAAGGACACCACAGTGTCCCAGGTGACTGGAAGACGAGCCTAGAGGGACGGACAGAGAGAGGGGGGCAAGGGCCCGACCTTTCAGGACTTCGTAGGCCAAGTTAAGGAGTCCGATCTTTATTCCAGGAATAGGGTGACACTGAATGACTCTGCACACATTTTGAAAATTTGATAACTTGCTGGAGAATCTATATACTACTTTACAGTCACCTATAGCTTTATCAACACTGAGTATTATCTTACCAACTTGATAAGTTTTAACTTGTACACATTACATTTTTTTGTTTATTGCCCATATTTACATCTGTTATGGACTTATTTTTGTTGAAATCCTAACCCCCAATGTGCTAGTAGTAGCAGGTGGGTTCTCTGGGAGGTGCTTATTAGGGCATGAAGGCGGAGCCTTCATGACTAGGATTAGTGCCCTTGTTAAGAAGAGATGGGAGAGCCCCTGCTTCAGCTGTCTGCTCCCTGCCGTCTGATAGACAAGGCGGCAGCCATCCGCAAACCGGAACGCAGGCCTTTACCAGACACCAAATCTGCTGGCACCTTGATCTTGGGCTTCCCGGCCTCCAGAACTGTGAGAAATAAATGATGCTGTCTAAGCCCCCGAGTCTGCAGCACTTTTTGACAGCAGCCCACGCTAAGAGAGTGCCCTTGCCCATTTCCTAGTGGAGTGTTTTTAACAAAATTTTTAAAGACATTACCTTTTTAAAAATCTTCTTCTTACTCGTTTGCCTTTGAATTATGTCAGAACATTATACACATAGCAACCTTTTCTTTTAGTGATCTGCCACAAAGATATTTTCTCACCCCAATACTATAAGTAGTCACCTATATTTTCTATTAGTATTCCCATGGTTCAATGATTCATATTCAATCATGACGTCCTGACTGACATCTATAAACAGAAACCGAATTTTACTTTTCAAAGGGTAAACCAGTTATCTCTTTATGTCACATTTGTCATCATAAGGAAACAACTTAAGAGAATAATTCATGGCTATTTTCTTAATCTCCTATTTTATTGTTATATAACCATGTAACACTGTACCGGTACCACACACACTTGTGTAATATATTTCGTGTGAGATAAAGCTTTTCCATGGTAAGTTCTCCCATCCTCATTTGTTCAATTTTAATTAGCTACCCTTTAAGAAACTTACTCCTTCCTTACGAAATATTGAATTGGCTTTCACAAGGATTTTTTAAAAACGGTTGAGGTTTCAGGCTACCTGTGAACTAGGAGTTATCCATCTGGAATGGAAGGAGGTGAAAATGACCTTGAAAACTTCAGTGACACTTTCCGACAGCTACTGAAATTTTTATATATTTTTGTACATATTGGGTATATTACTGAAGAGTTTAAACAAATATCCCATAAGACAGTTTACCATAATTGACCTTTTATTTTAAAAAATTACAGGGGATGATTTCCAGTATATCTTATTTTATAAAAGTACTGCCTATATCAAACATTTTATATCGCTGTTAATTCCATTGAAGAGCTGCCGTTTTTTAAGGTACTAATTCCAATTGATGGGATACATGCCCTTAAAATAGAAAGTTTTCATTATTTATTCAAATTTCAAAACCAAGATTATTGAGAAGTTTATTGCTTTATGGTTGGGCAAGATACTACTAGTACATTTTAGGTAAATAATAATCTTTAATAAAAACTATGAGGTCATTCTGTTTAAAACTTTCAGGATAATTCACAGAAAATAGATATATGTATTCAAACTACACACTGAAGGGCTGGGCTATTAGTTATAGACAATTATGTGTGAAGCAGCTCTTTAAAGAAATGAGATGCACAAATAGGTCTGGTGTAATATGCATAATTGAAATTAATAAAACCTGCAAGACCAATATTGTTATACTATAATCTGTTAGGATCTCAAAAAAAAACACACATTTAGTAATCCATTTGTGCTTAAAATATTCATATGCATGAAAAGCGAAGAGGAAAAAAAAAAAAACCTCTGTACATGATGAAAGAAAGTAATAAATTTTTTTGAAATTGCACTGTTATTTAAAACACTTTCCTAAAACCTGACCCTCCTTTGCAGCTGGCACAGTTTTTTTTCATGTCTAATTGGCAACCTGGGGAGGCCCCTCTGGTATTAATGAAGTAAAGAAGGTGGTGACAAAAGACCAAGCTGACGCCATTAATCCAGGCCTTTGAATTGCACTGGCATCTTCGCCTGCATCTTCTCCACTCTCATCTTCAAGCCCATCATCCATAAGGCGCTCCTTTCAAACAAAACAAGAAACACACTCCTAAGTCATTAAACAGCTGGCATCAACTCATGACAGAGAAAGGGGGACTGTGAGAACATGGTAAGAACGCAGCATGTATGGTCATTAGAAATCTTCGTCAAGTCCAAAGTTGGGAAATCCCTCAGAGTTCAAGCTCAAAGGGGTAACTGCCAATTTAATACAGTGAAGTCCACCATGTGCGTAATTTTCTTTCTAGGTTATTTTAAGGAAGAATAATGTTAATCTTTCCCATTTGATTCTAATGTATGACTGACAGTATTATACTCTCAGATCCTCTGGATGAAACCACAGGATTTATGTTAACTTTGCTTCATGTGTCATTCTACAAACACTGTGCAACACCCTGAGACTCGTTTATCATGTTGGTCTCATACAGTGCTGAGGACACATCTATATTTAAATTATACAAAAACCTCATTAGCATACCATCTCTTCAAGTTCTAGGTTGTTTGCATTCTGCCCTTCATTGACTTCGGCGTTATTGTTGGGAGCCTGCTGCTGACCTGCTTCTTGCCTAAAAGGAAACCATCCTGCTTGGTGTCTGTTTGGTAAAGTAAAGAGAAAAGAAAACAGTTTTTATTTGTAAAACTATAAAATATTAGTGTCCTACAAGAGAAAAATGATTAGAACTATAATAAAAAGAGCAAATCTCCCTTTCAGCCAAAAATCACACCTTTCAAAGCAATGAGAACAAAAGAGAAATCAATTTAAGTCTAAATGTCTATTATGGGCTTAACTGGCTCTATGCTAGATATTTAGACACATCAGGAGTCATAAAACCTTTTCTGATATTTTTCAAAATGACTTAAACTAGATATTTGTTTGACTCCTGGGGAAACAGAGGGCAAGGTGAAGTTAGTCTACTTATGAAGAAAAAATCCATCCCGTACGTCCAGGACTTACTATTGATCATTGTAATGAAAAAGAACATCTTTATGCAAGAGAGCATCGCAAAATTCCTCAAGTCCTGAGTAACCGACAGAGCGAGTCCAGCTGAATTAACAATTTTTATAAATGACGATAAAGGAAAAATTTGTTTCTAGGCAATTCCGATAAACATTTTTACTCAACATAACCTGCTCTGCTCCAGTGCCAGACCCAAGAAGCCCACCTGTGGCAGACCATATGCCAGATTCTGTACCGAACGGTTTTAGCCACTAAAAGCACCGAAAGTGAATGGGCATCACTCACAGATAAACCAGCAGCATGGCTCCCATGACCATGATAAACCGACTGAAAGAAGAATAGAAGTAGACGATGCTGAGGAGAATGGCGGCTCGCGAGAACGTGTACACCCAGTCCAGCCAGTCGCGATGGAGGTCCTCCTCATTCAGCACTGGGCCTCCCTGCGCGTTCATCTGCACATTCTCATTCATCGGTCGATTTTCTTGGGCCACCAGGTTCGGAGCCGGTGGGGGCTCTTCCCCAGGAACATGTGCCACATTTAGGGGCTGTGAAGAAGCGGGCTGAGCTGGGCTGGCATTTGATGTGGCCTGAGCTGAAACTGCAGCTTGACTGAAATGGTCACCAAAGTAAGTATTAAAAAGAAAAAAGAAAAAAAAAAAACTTGATCACGATGTTATAGTTGTCAAAGCTTCCTGGGTAAGCCACATGTATTTCTCATAAACGCAACCTGGAATAGCCCAGCTCCCACAGCTCCTGGGGGAGAGGGGCCGGCGCCGGGCAGGGGAGCCCGGGGAGGGCGCCCTCGGCCCCTAAGTCCCAGGTGGCGGGAGCGTTTGAAAGACAGGAACAGCCATGTTAATCACTTTTCTCTCTTTCGCTAAATTACTTTATAAGGTAATGACCAAATCTCTTTTCAAACCTTTTCACTAATGGCCCTTTCTGTCATTCGACGTGGAATAAAAATCTCCACACCCACCACCTCTCCCTCAGAGCCAGGTTCTGAAAGATTTGCCTAAAAATGTACATTAATCATGACCCTATGTGAACACTGTCAGTGATCAGTTATTTGTATTAGTATTTTTAAATATTAACTAGATTCCAGACTACAATCTCTCAACCCCAACCCTGACTTCCAGGAACTCCATCTGGGGACACTGACCATAGGTCCTTGTCAACTTTGGAAGAACTGTGGTCCTGATGTTTACTTATAATTATACTGCTCGAAAATGAGAATTTTCCTATATAATGCTACCAGTAAAATGATAATATATCTGGAATTTGCTTAAAATTATCCAGCACGGGGGCAAAAGTTATAGACCAAGACTGTCATGAATTAATAAATGCTGAAGCTGGGTGACGAGTACACAGGGTTAATTTCACTATTCTATCTTGTTCTATGTTGAAATTCTTCTACAATAAAAAGTTTAAAATTCAAGATAGCAAAATAAAATCAAAGAGTACTTTCCCAGGCTACAAAGCCTATTTAAGCCCGTATGCTAATACCTTGTATTCTGTACAGGGCATTTCAGCTTCCAAAACGCCTCCAACCTCATGGATATTCTGATTCATAGGTGAGTTATTTCACTAAATGTGGGAATATGAGGCTCAGAAGTTAAAGGACGTACATGCGATCGTACGATTTAGTAGCAAGCCAGGATAAGCCTCACTTACTCTGCACAGTTCTTGTCAGGTTATAAATGAGACAAGGGTGTGAAACTTCTAGTAGCGTACTGAGCACAAAGCAGTTACTCGCACGGTAACTACTACCACAGCAGCAGGTCAGGTGCAACAGCGTACCTGGGGTTGTGCAAGGGAACAATAGGACATCGAGTTCACAAAGCAGGTTAGCTTTACGGGGAAGGTCTAGGGGGAAAGTAGGATATAGACTTCACACTGTAGGCAAGAGAGTTACAGATATTTGGCGGATGGGGAATGACTGACTCATAAGCAAGTTAACCTGGCAACAGTACGATGAAACACAGTACGAGCCTAAACGGAGAAAAACCAATTGCAATAAAGTGGGTCTAAACTAAGAAAAGACCTGAGCAAAATAACTGGAAGTGAGATACAGGGGAAGGACAGCAGCTAGGAACAACCTACTCACTCATCTCGGTGACTTGGGTTCAGAAATAACAAAAGCCACAAGCAAAACTGATTAAGGTTAAGAGCTTGGAAATGGTTGAGCAGAGACAGCATCACTGAGAGGAAGTCAGGAAGGAGAATGCGCTTTATGAGGACGGCAGAATCAAATTTTACACATACTGAATTTAGATATATTGAAAGGCAAATTTCCTTACGGAAACCTTTCAAAACTTAAGATACAGGATGAAGAACCAGAGATGGAGAATTGGGCGTCGTCCATGGAGAGCTACCAACTAAGGCCACGGCAGGAAGAAATCCCCGAGGACTGGCCCAGGGCAGAACCCTGCCTTCCCTACGGGACTGAGCGTCAGAGGCACGCAGAAGTACACAAATATGTCTACCTGAACAAGGAATGTTAACATTTAGAGAAAGAAAAAACTGGGTTATCGAAGGACACAACGTGAGTGATCGGAAAGATACAAAGAATGAAGAGGGTGACGGAATCCCAGAAACAAGGAGGGCAGAACATTCCAGAGAAGCTCGAAATGTCAAATGAACACACAGGAGGTCCAGAAAAGCGAAGGCAAGAAACTACTCAGGGCCGAGAGTGTTCCATGCTGACCGGAAGCAAGGCTTGCTAGATGCGGACGGTGCAGAAAGCACGTCAGCCACCACGGAGCCTGACAGCAGCGAGCCTCCCTCGCACACGACTCTCTCTAGACCCGTTTTCATTCACCTTCCAGTCTCTTCATGTAGATGTGCTGCCCTCCGGTGAAACTTTCCTAAGTTCTCTCCTCTTAAATAGATAAAATTACATTAAAGAAAACATCTGAAGACTGCTAAATATAAGGAGAGGAGAGAGGTGGAGAGTAGGCGTAGTCGACGTGAGATCTTTTTCCTTTGGCCAAACAATTTAAAATGCAGTTATCTGCTGAGATGTTGGCGAATTTCTTTTCATAATAATTTTTGAAAGCTCATGAAACACATCAGTAAATGAAATCCCCAAATCGACTTACGTAGGCTAAAAAAGCTAACGAAGCAAATAACAGTGAGTAAAAACACGAAGTCGAATGCACTTACTATTGCATGTAGTACTGGTGCGCATACATCTGCTGCCACCACAGCATCTGCAGCGGGCTGAGCGCGGGGTACGCCGGGAACGCGGCCGCGACGGCGTGCCCGGGAAGCTGGTTGTCTACATTTCTGCCACGAAGAGATCAAGAATCGCCTTTTAATGCTCTGGCAATTGAAAGCATTTCTCTAAATTTTCATCTCTGAACAAGTCATAGTTGACAAAATGTATTAAACCTTACTGAAAAGAAAAATATCTATTTTCAACATTCTTCAAATTCCTTAGAAGATGACCCTGATCCCAAGTATATAGAACAACTAACATTTCAGCCCGGTTTTAATGGGAAAATAAAAAAAATCATCCACAGAAATGTGTGGCAAGCCTGAACATCTGCTATCGTCTTATTTCAGCACAAAAGGTCAAAAATATGTTCAGTACACTTTAAGTACATTCTCCTTAAGAACCAAACACTAAAATAAACTTTATGGCAAAATATTTTGAGGAAAGAGAGAGCTAGCCAGATGACATTTTACATTAGTAATAAAATATTATTAAAAACATAGCACCTATCAACTGTAAAAAAATGAACATTATAAAAAAATGGTGAAATATTTTGAAAAGAATCAAGATTAGCAGAAAATATGTATACATGCATTCTTTTAAGTCTACGTGGTATGCAACATAACATTAGTTTCAGGTGTACAGTACAATGATTCCGCATTTTCATACCTTACAATGTGATTACCCCACTAAGTCCAGTAACCTTCTGTCACTGTGCAAACTCACCACAGTGTCACTGAGTACAGTTCCCATCACCTTTTTCACCCATTCCCCTCCCTCCTCCCCTCTGGCAACCATCAATGTGATCTGTTTCTGAGTCTGCATTTGTTGTTTGTTTATTCATTTGTTTTGTTTTGTTTTGTTTTTTAAGATTCCACAAATAAATGAAATCATACGGTATTTGTCTTTCTCTGTCTTATTTCACTTAGCATAATACCCTCTAGGTCCATTCATGTTGTCACAAATGGCGAGATTTTATTCTAATTATTGCTGAGTAATATTCCATTTATATATGCATTCTGAAAGTAGGTTAAACTACTATTAAGTAAATGTGTGGAAGGCCACATTTATCTTCCCTATGCCTCAGTTTCCCCATCTCTAAAATGGGGCTAATAATAGAATCTTTCTCATACGATTGATAGTCTGTACTCAGTACGTTAGTTATGTTTATTTTTACTCTCCCCAACCCCTAACTCTGAACATGACTCCAAAGTGTGTAATGTGAGATTTACAAAAAAGACACATACATCAAGACAGCTACAGAGATAAACATAAAAATGAATGGAGAACTTGTGAATTTTCTTTTTTTCATATTACTTAATTTTATCTTTAGCTGATATTAGTTTGGTCTATTGTGGGTGAGACAAGAATTAATAAATTCATGAAAACTGCTTATATTCTAAAGACTGTTAACATATACTTGAAATAACTGATTATAGAAACCTACTTCAGAAGAGCTTGGGAGGCACCAACTCCCCGACACGTTCCCCAAACTTTCCTCACCCATGGGGGAGCGATGGGAGCCACCATCCTCAGAGACCCTCTATCTCCTGAGCGCAGCCCGCCCCACTTCCCAAGCCTTAAGAAGGAAAAGCAGAGAAGCCTCCATGCGAGTTCCTCCAGCTCTTAATAAACAAGTCCTGAATAAGAAGAGGAAAAGAACCTCAACCTGGCTATTCCTAAAAGGGTTATCAATCTGATCAAACCTGGAGAAAAAGCCACACCGCTGGAGCAGAGAACAACTGTAAAATATTTGTTTAAAGATCTCGGCCTTTCCACCTGTGAACTGATGCATCTGAGCCAATCTGAAAACTACCTAAATCAATTAACAACCATATGAATCTGTATCTAGGAGGACATTTAAATTTCTTAGTATTCCCAACTACAAAAAACCCAAACCCTTGAAAGCAGGGCTCTGCCAATCTACCACTAAGAAGAAATATAACTCACACAGGCCCATTCCTCCAACTGTAAATGAGAAGACTGGACTTGGTCACTGTTTTTAAAAGGGAAGAAAAGGCCACTAACGATCACTTTGAAAAAAATTACTATAGCTTCCTACCTCACCCTACTGCAGCTGAGAACATATACTGCCAGAAAATATATTTAAATAAACTCCCCTAGTTGATTCCCATATGCTTCTTCCCTTTCTCTCCGATAAGTTAAAAACTACTGGACTATGTAACTGCTAAGACACATCCCAGGCCCAAGTTGGCATACTATGACTTTCGGTTGTGTTAATTATCCCTCAGACAAGATGTTATGCATTTGGTACTTCCCAAAGAAATAAAGGATTTATTTATATTAAATAACAAAGCTATTATTAAAATACATAGAAACATACTGAATTTCGTTAACCAATGTCACCATAAAAAATTAATTAATTAGAAAAAATAAAGTACATAGTAACAGATCAATGAAACATTATATAAGAACTTGACACATCCTAGGGGATGCAGCATTAAACAACATGATGGAGAATGATATCTGGTGCTGGGAAAAGTGATTACCAAATTAAGAGGTACGGGGAAGGGAGTTTAAAGCTTCGCCTCATTCCAAATATTCAAATAAGTTCCAGTGGACTAAAATAAAGTATTAAGAGTTAAACCACAGAAAATCTAGAAGAAACTAGAATTGATTCTTTACCGAATCTTTGGAGGGAGGACGACTTTCCTAACTTAAAAGCAACAGAAGCACAGGAAGAGCAATCCACGTAACTGACAACATGAAATTTAAAGGGACAGAGCTGAGAAAAAATCTCTGAAATAAACAGTAGTGAATATCTTTTCGACATAAAGAACTCACAGAAATAGAAATAATCATTAAGACAAATGCATATTAAAATAAAGACAGTTTTTTCCTGTCTAACAATATCCAGTACCGCCAAGGGATACAAATGAAACTGACTCTCCTATTGCTAGCAGGATAAATTGGAATAAGTCTTTAAAAATTTTACAAAATTAAATGCTTTTTTAAATGTTCACTTATACCCAACTGCCCAAGTAATTGTGCTTCTGAAAATTAGCTTAAAGAAATATGAAATATGGAAAAAATTTCACACCTCTGCCCTTTATACATACTTACCCCTCTTGGGAACCACACACTCAGCCTACCCCCATGCCAAGACTCCTTTCCCCTAATAACAGAGGGACTGGACACTGGGACAATAATTCACGATTAAAGAGAGAGTCGGAACCTTACCACGGCACTTGTCGCCACGCTGAAACTGCTGAAATCCCACACCCTGAAGGCAGTTCCCCTCTGAGCTATCTACTTTGACCCACTTCCACAGCAAGCCGTCAAGCCTAAATACAACTGGCAAAGCTGTGAAACAGCGAATGCACAGGCTATTCATCTCAATACTATGTGTAACAGCAAAGACTGGAAATAACTCAAATATTCATCAACAGGAGACTGGATGTCATGATTTAGACACTCAGTGCAGATGGAAAAAGGAACGACGTCCCTATACACTCCAGTGGAGTGATCTCCCGGGTGTTCTGTTAAGTGATGTTTGGTTTAAAAGCAAAGTTTTTCTTTTAAAAGAAAAATATGTATAATATGCTACCTTCTGTTAGAAAGAAGATATTCTTATATGCATATACTATGTGTCCGTGTATGTGTGTGTACACACTTTCTTGAATTTTCACAAAGAAAAACAGTGAAGGATAAACCAAAAAATAATAAATATAATGGGGAGAGACCACTGTGGGAAATTACATAGAACAACAGAAAAGGCATAAAGCAAAAAAAAAAAAAAAAA